CTCTTACAGAGAGAAAGCTTGGTATTTGTTATGCCTGGTGTGTCTCTCTTGCTTCAGAGGGGAAGAAGATGGAGGGAGCCTCTGCCCTGGATACCACGTGTGACCAAAACAGCATGGAGGATTGGCTTTTCCGAGTCCCACAGATCTCTACCTTCCTCAAGGTGGTGCTTCAACAGGGCCTGCTTCTCCTGCGGCCTCTCTCCGACGAAGCCAACGAGACCCTCCGCCTACTGCCAGAATGCAGAGGCCTTCAAGGGACGGCCCTTGTCAGCCTGCTCGACCTCCCCTCCATCACCTACCTCAATTCCCACCTGCCTTCTGAGCTTCGGGACAAGTGGCAGCTGCTCTTCGCCTCCCGGATTCACGGCGAGAGCTTTACCCAGCTGTGCGGACATATTGTCAGCAAAGGGCCCTGCCTCTTGGTCCTGAAGGACACCGATGGCTACACCTTTGGTGGGTTTTCCTCTTGCTCCTGGGAGGTGAAGCCTCAGTTTCAAGGTGAGGTCCTTGAAGTTTCAAGGTGAGGTGAAGAAAGGCGCCCCCCCCCCCCAGTCTGCAGAATTGTGCACAGATTAGACCAGGGGTCTGCAACCTTAAACGCTCCAAGAGCCATTTAGACCAGTTTCCCACAGAAAAAAACAACAACACCGGGAGCCACAAAACATGGGTGGGCGTGGCCAACTTGACGCCACTCCCACCCAGTCACATGGCCACGCCTACCCAGGTTTTGTGGCTCCTGTGGGAAATGGGTCTCTCCCTCCCTCTCATTTCTGTTTTTTTGTGTTTTACCTTTTCAGGCCAGGCAAGGAGTGACTGGGAGGGGAGGGGCCAGCCAGTGGTAGGACCACCGAACAGGGAGCCACAGCAGAGGGTCCAAAGAGCCACATGCAGCTCCAGAGCCACGGGTGGCTGACACCCGGATTAGACCATATAAAGTTCTAAACAATTGTCCCGGATGTTTCATGCATTAAGTTAGCAGATTTTAAGTACGTTGGTTCAAAAATCGTTGCCGTGCAATGTACTGTTTGGGCTCTCTTGAGAGCACAAAATGAGAGTTTTAGTGAGATAAGTGGATAACACCCATGCATACATAAAAGTGTGACGGCTGTTGCTATCCACGAGGTGGCAGTCTTCTCTTAGAAGAAACTTCCAACAGCTAGCTCTCCTGTCAAAATGGGAAATGAATGAGGACTAGCCACTTCACTTTTCCCAAGTAGGCTCTGCCAGGGTGAATCTTTTCTGTTTTCCTCTCTCTGGTCCAATAACTCTTCCTTCGTTTGCTGCTTACAGGAAACAACACCTGTTTTTTGTTCTCCATTTCTCCCTCGCTGGCAGTGTTCACCTGCAGTGGCTACAACAACCACTACATGTATCTCAATCACGGGCAGCAGACCATGCCGAATGGACTGGTGAGTAACAAACAGTGGGGCGTTGGAGTTTGCTTTGGCCCACGATGGGCTTTGTCCATGATGGCTTGTACAGCCATGTGTGCTTTGTGTGAATTCTGTCACAACAGGGGTGTCCAACCTTGGTAACTTTATGACTGGCGGACTTCCAGAATTCCTCAGCCAGCAAGTGGACTTCAATTCCCAGAATTCCTCAGCAAGCATGTGGACTTCAATTCCCAGAATTCCTTTCCCAGCATGGCTGGCTGAGGAATTCTGGGAATTGAAGTCCCCCCCAAGTCGTAAAGGTACCATGGTTGGAGACTCTTGAGTCAAAAGACACATTCTGGACTTCCTGCAAATGACAAACGACCTCTCTGCTGTTCGTTCAATGTCCTTGCCAATGTGAGGACAAGGTGCCCAAACTTCCATAAAATCAGCTGTGGCTCACAGAGAGGCTGCCTTAATGAGTAGCAGATGTCAAAAGCATTGATTCCCAATCCTTTTTTGAAGCCTATCCAGCTGCAGGGGAGGGCTTTAGCTGCTAGGTCTTTTAAAAAAAAATGGATTACAGGGAGTTCCCAAGTGACAATCTTTCATTTAGCGGCCAGAGTTACAATGGCATTGAAAAAGGTGACTTATGAGCCAAACTCACTTAACTGTCTTACTTAGCAACAGAAATGTTGGGCTCAACTGTGGTCGTAAGTCAAGGACTACCTGTAATCCTTGCAGGTACGTCCGTTGGTTGGAGGTTCATTCTTGCATCCTCTTTAACTTTTTCCAATACAAACATGATCACACATGCCTGCATATATATATTTTTTTCCTTCCAGGGTATGGGAGGCCAACACGAATACTTTGGCCTCTGGGTGGACAGTAACTTTGGCCAAGGCCACAGCAAAGCCAAACCTCGTTGCACCACCTACAACAGCCCTCAGCTGTCGGCCAAGGAGAACTTCCTGCTGGATTCCATGGAGGTGTGGGCTGTGGGAGACCCCCCGGAAGCCAAAAATGTAAGTCTCACCACACCCAGCACAACCACCTTAGGTGGCGATATAAACTTCCTGTTTGGTCAGGAGTTGGCTGCTCCCTAGTAGGGCATGAAATCCCATCAGTCAAAAGTTGGTTTAAGCTTCTTGTTTGTGGGTGGGTGGGGAAGCCGAAGGGGTCCTGCAGCAGAAGATGGAAAAGATCCCCAAGGTTGGGTTGCATGGAAGTCAACCAAGCACATGACCAAGCTAGAAAGAGAAGAAGGGGGAGAGGAAATGGGGTCTTTGGAGCTCTGTGGTGTCCTTGGTGCCTCTGGTGGCCCATGGGAGAGAAACAGGATGAACAGAGGGCAGAATGATTGACAGGGAATGGAGGAAGTAGACATCAGAGAGGCCCTCCTCAAGCATGTCTGACTTCAACTGTTTTTGATGGGATTGTGGTTGCAAGGAGGATGTAAGCTCCAATTGGTTTTTTTCCAGGATGAAAGCAACTCTTGCACATCCTAGGTTAGGGGACAAAATTTTGGCCAACAACAATGAGGATTTATTTACGTTCTGCTCCCCCATCAGAATGGATTTAAAGGCCTGGAACATCCTGGTTGTTTTCTATTTACCTTCTAACCAGGTCCATCCCTGTTTAACTGCCTCCTAATTGGGCACCGATACTAGATTAAAGGGGAATGATAGATTGTGGTTTAACACTTTGGGTATATCTAAACCTTGGCTCCTGGAGTGAACCAGACTATCCGCTTCAATCATCACATGGTTGACTTGCTTGGCCCTTTGAGGTGTTTTGTTAACCTGGGCTTAGCAACGTTGTGCCTATTCAGTTTCTTCCCATCCATGGAGCTCGACTCCTATCAAGGCAGATAGGTTCATACCGGATATCGACTCTTAAATTCTCAGGTATTCGGTTTCTAAGATCTTAACGCAAGTGGGAGCCTTTGTTTATCTTGATCTACATTTTTTTTTCTTTTGAACAACTTGAATAATAAAAAAACCCAACCACCCAGTGCTCTTGGATTCCTTCCTCCCCCGTGGTGCCCCAGCTCCAAGAGACTTACCGGTTAAAAACTGACATAAATTTGCTTTCTCTGGCAGCTCTGTCACTGACCTAACCGGTTTCACCCATCCGGTCAAAGCAGAATCTTTCCATGTTTGCCAAGCACTAGGACAGGCAAGGAATCCACCCAACTTTCTTTGCTCTGGTTTCAGGGACAAAGTCGGCCAGAGCTGATTACAGCCCAGATCTGCCCACCTTCAGCTGTGGTTGTTGTTGTTGTTGTTGTTTGTATTATTCCAACCTCTCTTCTGGGTTTGGCTTTAGGGAAAAGGCCAAAAGAGCATCTTAGACGCTGACCCAGAGGCCCAAGCTTTGCTAGAGATGATGGGGAAAAGCCGCCAGAGTGATGGGTTTCGGAAACCACCTGATGATGATGAAGAAGAAGACAACAACTGAGATCTCCTCTTAGAAACGTCGTCCTCCCAAGTCTGACCAGGATTTTGTTGGAACACCTTCTGAGCTTTCTATTTTCCACACATCAGTATCCGTTCTCCATCTCTTAAGCGTGTTGAGGTTCGGTTAAATAACAGTTGGGGTCTTTACAAACTCTGGACGTATTATCTGCAGTTTTTTCTCCCTCCCCCAGGGATTGGGCGTGTATTGTTCTAAAGTCAGGACCTCCTTTTTCTTCTTTCCACATTATTCACATTTATTTTGGGTGCAAGCCCACCCAAGGGGACTTCCAGATTTCTGGTGGAAAAACATTCCTTGGAGGGACCCCAGTTCACTCACAAGAGTTCTCAAAACTCAATGACTTCCGTGTAAAACGATCCGTATTTTGTTGGGAAAATTTAAGTGCTCCATAAAAGCATATTTGGGGGTCTGTTGAGGTGCAATATCCGGAAATCAGGATTTCATATCTGAATTAATCGCATCAATATAAACAATTGGATCATGTTCAGCCTGAGTCTTTTTTAGAGACAAATGTTGGCTGTGAATTTCCAACTTCGTGGGGCGTCAACAAAGCAGACTGTTAAATGTGTGAATCCAGCCAACCCTAACCCTAATCCTAATTGAACACCAAGATTGCAATAACCCATTCACCCAACCCCAGAAGACACCGAGGCAGACTTTATGAACAAGTGTCTTTATTACATCTTTAAATAAATAAAGGCAGGTAATCCCTCAACTTTGATATCTGTTTTGAAGGGGGACCCAATTGTCAGATGACTAGATGGAATCCAGGCTTCATTTTAACTTTGCGGGACCGGATGGCTGGTGATCAGAAAACCAGATCAGCCTGGGATAAGAGTCAGGGACCTTCCAAGACTCAAGAAGAGACTCAAGTTACTCCCAGGGGATTTCCAGGATGTGATATTCCCTTTGAACCCAATTGGAGGGCAAGGTTCCAAACCATGCCAGGTTAACCAAATCACAACCCGACGAGCTAATTCCACTGTGTTGTGAGGCTACATTGGCAGAACCTTTCAAGTCTGGAAATACACGTCTTCTTCCATCTCCTTTACAGCCTGAGAAACTAGGGAGGGTCTCTCCTGAACGTCTTTTTCCCAATCCATTTAGCAGCTGAGGGCTACTCGGTCTTTTATTTTGACCATTCCTTTGCCCCATGCCCCGTGGTCTTTGCCCTCACATCATTGACACAAGGCGTGCTCTGTTCGTCAGACCATTTCCAGTGGTTTGTGATCTGCCTTTGACCTGCAACAATATTTCTCGCACACTTTGACCAGTTCCGAGAGGATGAAGACTGAAGACGCGAGGGCGGTGAGGAACAACAGGTCTATCAAGAGAAGGAAATGAAAGGGTTACTAAGATGGAAGCAAAACACCCAAGGGGTCATTAGTTGGCAACTGAGAATCATCTCCCTATTCCGCTTCTATTGAAACTGCATTTTGGAGGACTATTTTCTTAGAGTTAATGGGAGCCATAAGGACATTGACATGAAAATAGCTGTCAGGGTTCCGGCAGTTACCCCCATTTAAATCATGACTCTCGAACCAACTTCCAAAGCTTAAAGAAGATTTATTAGGAGTAAACATGCAGGCACTGCCTGGGTGCAGCTGACTCTGAGATACATCATTCATTGTCACCTTTGACCCTGGTTTTCCCTCCACCTCCTGGGTGTATCATCATTCATATTCTCCAATGGGACACATCCATAGCCAAGAGTCATCAATCATACTCTCCAGTTAAAATTTTGTGCGGCAGAAACTTCGGTCACCTAGAAACGATCTTTGAAAACATTTATGGAATGCAAGCTGCCCACTGCTCCCCGATCCCTTTCTGCTGGCAACTCTAAAAAGACCATAGAAGTATTTTATGACATAAAGGGTTGGCAATGAATTTTTTTTCCCCCAGAGGAGGATAATGTATCCCCCGGATCCTCGTGATTTTCACAGTTCACGTTTTTTGAAGGTTGCCATTTAGACTTGTCGGAAAGAAAAGACGTACAATTTTGGAAACGAGCTGCTCTCTTCCATTCCTGATGCTTAGAAGCTGAATTTCTATATAATCTTAAAACCTTTTATTTGGAAAGATTGAAATCCTCCTTCGAAAGGGGAGTTCCATGACTTACCCAGCGCTTGTAAATTCTCTGTCTGGAAGATCTTTTGCAGGGGAGGGATGTAAATAACCGCCATTTGACCCAAAATGGAACCCAGCACCGAATATAAGAACATGCGGTTTCGGAAAAGACCGATTTCCAGTATCAGTTTCATCTGGAGGAGAGAAAGGAAGATCAGATCATTCAATAAGTAACTTGGTCTTTTTTTTTTTTCCTTCTGGGAGCCCAGTCTGTTTTTTTTTTCAAAGTAGATTCTTTTTTTAGCAAATCAGATGATTAATGAAATCAGGTAATCAACAGCAAATCAATGCAACGTCAATGCAGGTATTTTTAAACCAGGTGCTTTTCTTACTATTGTTGGCATCAATAAGGAAGTTCAAGGAGAGAATTTTGAGTGAATTTAGTATTTCTCCTGCAAGTGCCAATTTGCTGTTTTGTATTTAGAAGGGGGGGGGGAAAGAACCCTTCAGATATCTTAAATGCACAGACATATTTAATGTGCATAGCCTGGGATATGTATCTTAACAAACCAGAATCTGCTTGGTTTACTTCGTAATATGAAGCTAAGCATGCTTGTTTAACTACGGCTTAGTACAATATAGGGCTTAGTACAATATAGGGCTGCAGTAAATTATGGTTTTCTTAGCAACTGAGGTAAAGCAAACCACGATTTACTGGGGTGCATGAAATTAGCCTTTTAACGTGTTTTTTTTTGAATGAGACAAAAAAATTACCAGTTCTCTCTTCAAATTCTTTCAAAGGTGCAGTGACACTTTGTTGAGGGTAGCAAGGTATGAAACCATCAATTTAGTAACTCCTGCTAAATTGTTCCTGCTTTGATTTTAAAGTATTCCCCCACCCTCCATAGCTTATCTTCAATGCTCCAGTCCAGTTTGACTAATGCTTTGCTACAGATTCACCCCAAGAGGTTCATTTTATGCCCAGAAATCTACCTCAAATGACTGGAGAACCACTAAAACAGGAGGCTGTTGGGCTTATTAAAAGAAGCAGAACCAGGGAAAAATAAGTAGCTCCAAGAAAGACCTCTCTTTCCCTCCCTCCCTCTCCCTCTCTCTCTCTCCCCCTCCCTCCCTCTCTCCCTCTATCTCTGCAAATAATACTCCTTTCCTACTTTTCCAATCAGCAACCTTCAGTTTACCGAAAACAGGGTTATAACCATTGTGCCATAATACAGTAGCATTCCTAACAAAAACAATTGTAGAAGATGTTGGAGTCTGACAGGCGAATTTTTTTAAAAATGGAATTTTTACTTTAAAGCTGGTTGCACAAATATGTATTTTTGATGCTGTAACTTCATAACGTTCAATTTAAGCTTATATGTATATGTGTATCGACGCACATGCACGATTTTGCACATATACATTCACGCACGCAGTATTTTAGGTTCGGTAAGACTTAGCCACAAGAAAGAAAGGAAAGGAAGCAATTGACTTTGTTTTCCTGGGTCTGGATGGTGGGAGGTCACGGTACAACAGTCAGAGGGAATTGTTCAGTGGGAGTATGTAGTAGCTTCCTGTCTGGATTGAATACCTTGCACGCAGATTATGAACAAAGTATTTCAGTTTTGGCAGGATTTTCATAATAGCATTAGCACTTATATACTGCTTCAGGGTGCTTTACAGCCCTCTTTAAGTCAGCCTATTGCCCCCGACAATCTAGGTCAGGGGTGTCCAACCTTGGCAACTTTAAGACTTGTGGACTTCAACTCCCAGAATTCCTCAGCCAGCAAAGCTGGCTGAGGAATTCTGGGAGTTGAAGTCC